AGTAATCACTGTGTTTCATGAAATCAGATAATCTCTAAGATTTCTTAAATCTTGTATCATACTGGCCAATTATGATTCATAATGATTCTTCATCATGTCAGCATTCTAATTGTAGCTTTATTATGCCAATTGGCATAAATTAAGAGCGCTTTTAGGTGATATTTTAGATACCTGGGTATGTACTTCCTACCATACTCTATCATTTTAGGTAAATTTTCGAACTATGTTTTGGTTGCTATTATCTATTATTCACAATCTTATTATCGTTCAAAATTAAAAAAAAACGCTGATCACAATCAAACTTGCAACCTTTACGGATCCATTTTTACCAGAAAACCAATTGAACTATGAGATATTGACATGCTCTCAATTTATTATTAATATAAGATGTTTAATTGTGTCCCCTGTTTTCTTTAAACCTTAATTACTATATTTGCTATATATTGATACTTTTAATACCACACATAGAAGTTATTTGAAATTCTTTTAATTATTTAATTTCATAATATTTTCCTACCGATTAAATTAGGAATCATACCATTTTCAACGATCATACCTCTTTTAAATATGCATATCTCATAATATGTATATATTACATATCATTAAGCTATATGTTAACCTTTTAAATCAATTTTTAATATGATATCTCAACTCAATCTCAAAATTGAACATTTATTCCCAATCATGAATATTCAATATCTCACCTTCAGTTGTCGTTATTTACAATAAATATAATAATTTGAAAAAATCATCGTTCAATTTTTTGATTCGAAAAATCATCATTTTTATTTTATTATTTTATCAGATATTTAATGTAAATTATAATTCTTATTATAATTTTATAAATCAGTATTTTTCGAATTTATTCAAATTACGAAAAGAAAAATATACAAATCCAGCTCGAGCATAATGCTGATATGCATTCGCATGTATTTACTGTTTAAACTTTTCTCTACTTCCTCTGAATATGAAGAAAAACTCAAAAAGGTAAAATTCATTTTAAGGTTATTTTGGTTGGACACCCTCTGAAAAATATCAAATAAAATATTGTAAATAAATGATTGTAAATTAATCCGATTGTTTCCAAATGCTGAAAGATCATCTTGATTTTCGTGCTGTCGCAAGATATTATATTAAATTAAATAATGATTTGGATTATGGCATTATCTTAATAAATGTATTCATGTAGTAAGATTACAAGAAGTTTTGCAATGAATGATGGCCTTTTTTTATAATATTTATTAAATTAAAGCGGATTCCATTCTTCGGCTTGTTATTCGATGAATATTATACCTTCGATTAATAATAGCTGATATCATCCCCTCTTATTAAAGCTTTTTACATCAAGAAAGGAGAGATTATTATTTGTTTGACCATAAAAGCTTTTCAATGAATTCTTAGATAAATTTTCTTTAGATTTCAAATTTTTGAAAGCAAGTATAAATTTTGAATATCCACGCGCATTTTTTAATATTTGATTTTAATCATGTATTTATATAATACATCATATATACAACAGAGAAACTCACTTAAAATCCTATTTTAGACATTTGCTTTTTTTCTTATTTCAACAATCTATATTTTTAATCAAAGTATATAATTATAATAATTTTATTTTGAATAGATTTTTTTCCTTTCAAAAATTTTAACAATGTAAATTTCATGATGATGGGTAATTTTAATTCAAATCGCTTTTGAGAAGTTACGGACCTTTCATGATTTTAAAAATCGCTTGATTTAGCTTATACAGTAGATGATTAACTCTAAGAAAAAATTGATTAGATTCTGAGTAATCAATATCGGATGATATACCATGACATAATATAGTCATATCATTTTAATACTCGTTGATATGAATAATTCAAATAAAACTCATTGAATTGTAATTGAACAACTTTAATGTCAGAAACCATTGCCTCAATCACCATTCTATATCCATTATTGAACCCAATCAAATGCATAAATACTTTAAATCCTATCGTAATGACCAAGATATGCATTTCTAATTGAACATATTATATTTTACTTAAATACTTCATTTTTTTCAATTACCGCACCATCAGGTGCTATGTTTAAATAATTGAATAGTCCAAAATAATTAAATCAGATAAAAATTTAAAAATAAAATAATATTTAAAAACAATATATTGCTGATCAAAATAACAAATGAAAACGAATGAAAACTCGTTATCTCCAAACTGTGAAAAGAAATAATTCGGTAATATGAATACAACTCAAAATTACCAAATAAAAACGTCCCAAAACAACTGAATTCAATGACCTCAGCAAAAATCATTGATATCAGATACATTCATGCATAAAGCATAAATACAATAATATGAAATTAGATATCTTCGCTATTGTTGAAATTCATGTGAAGGAATTCATGGTTACACACATCCTCAATTGAAAATCTCTTCTTTGGATCCATGCATAACATTCCACCCAAAAAGTTGATGAATTTCAACTTATCTTCGTCTGAATCGCCATGATTATCTCTGTATGTCATGATAATTCCTGAGAGCTTCTCAAGAGGTAATGTGGAGGGATCCTCCATTGTATTTTTTTAATAAGTTCGCTATTCTTGTCGAAGAAGTCATTGTAATGTGGAGAGACGCTCTTCATGTACGCTGGAATCTCCCCACAACGAGTTTCCATTAACTGTAAGCAATGAAGCTCCGAAGTGCCGGCAATGATTGGAAGACCAATTGCAAGCTCAGCAGCGATGCAACCCAATGACCAGATATCAATCTTTACGGTTGCTGGAAGACGTAACATAACTTCTGGTGCTCTGTAATAACGGGATTGGAAATATGTATTTGCAAACTCTTCCTCATAAATTAAGCAACCGCCAAAGTCGATAACCTTGAAGTTTCCATCGAAACCGAGCATGATATTCTCTGGCTTCAAGTCGCCATGGCACATTTTGTTTTTATGTAAGTAAGAAATGAAAATTGAGGCATCACGGATGATCTTCTGAATCTTTGCAAGTGAAATGCCACGATATCCGCTCTGTTCAATGATATTTAAGACTGAGCAATTTAATTTTTCTGTAACAGTGAAAACGTGATCTTTGTATTCGAAGTAGTCGACATACTTACATGCGTACTGAATTGGAGCTGTCTTGTCACGCTTGATATACTTTAAAACGCAATTCTCACGATATGCTGAGTCTTTTGAGGAAGTATTGTTAGTGGATACCTTAATAGCACAGTGCTCATTAGTGTGTAATGCGATAGCCTCATAAACGCTACCAAATTCGCCAAAACCTATGAGGTGGATAAAACGAAAGGCAACACGCTTGCTTGGAGAAATAACACCGTTCATATGAATGATGAGGTGGCCCTTCGCATTCTCCAATGCCCCCTTCTTCCAAGGGACAGGATCCTGGGTAAGTGGAATACAATTCATTATTATTCTGCCGGAATGAATTGAAAGGGGCCAAAATTTTTCTAAAAATTTTTAAAAGGAATACTCTACTAAGTACATACATTAAATAATAATTGATTGGAATTTTTCAATAGATAAATTCTGACGATTTCATTTTTCCAAAAATTGAATGAAACTATAGCAGCGTTGTTAAATTGGAAAAAACGAAAAATTATAATAACACCTGCATTCACAACTTTTTTTCCAAAGGGAGATCGAAATGATAAAAAAAAAATTAAAATTTCATCGTGATTTAAATTTTGTTTGAGCGTAACATTGAAGGGGTTTAGACTTTTCTAAAGAGATATACACCTAGTAATAAACATTGAAAGATTTATATTTTTTTCATTGAAATTATATGCTTCAAGAAAATCAAAAATATGCAAAAAGGTTATAAACGCATCCAACATTTACAAATTACAAATCCATGGAAATAATAACAAAATTTAATTTGATCTTGATAAAAGTTGTTCAATCTCAATAAAATGGTTATCACGAGCAAAATCTAATGCAGTTCATCCATTGCAGTCTTTAATATCTTTTTTGGCACCAAAATCAAGTAAAAGCTTTACAACTTCAATACAATTATTATCGGCTGCGAGCATAAGCGCTGTTTTACCAGAATTGCTTGTTGCATTGATATCTGCATTTTTCTCTTTCAAATATTTTATAACATCAAAGCTATTCTTAACGCAAGCAACCATAAACGGCGTAATACCCCATTTATCTCTTCTTTCTATATTACAGCCCCTTTCTATGAATATTTTAACAATTTCGAGCGAATTATTTGCAGATGCAATAAAAAGTCCATTCCAATTGTTTTTATCACCAACATCCATATCTATACCAGCATCTATAAGTGCAGAAGCAACTTCCACTGAACAATTATATGATGCAATGCATAACGCGTTCTTTCCATACTTATCTTGGATAGAATTGATTGCTTTCTTCTCAATTAGTTTGTTTGTGATATCAATCCTATTATGTAAAGCAGAATAAAGTATTGTTGTCCATCCAATATGGTCTTTGGCTTCAAAATCAGCTCCATTTTGCAAAATTAAGCCGAAACTCTTTAAATGATTGTTTTCGACAGCATGCATTATTGGATATTCTTTAAAATGATCATAAACTTCTGTGTTTGCGCCGTTTTTAAGTAATAATTCAACAATATATGCAAGTCCAATTTTTGCTGCAACAATTAAGGCGGTATCATGATTAGAATCATAGACATTGATATCGTTGATATTATTTAACTTGTAAAAGAACATTTTCAAGTTGAAAAAGAAAAGTGTTGAATCCCATGAAAAATCAAATCCAAATTTTTCAATAATTTCGCATGCACATTCGTTATGATGTGATTTGATTGCATTATCAAGACATTTCTGAGTAATGTTGAACGATTCACAACAAATCTCCAGAATCCTGCAATTATTACCGAAGAAAGCGTTCTCCAGTGTCTTTTGAGTAACTTTTGCATTGTTGGCAAGCAAATACTTAAAACATTTTTCAGATCCAAACATCGCCGCTGTGTCCAATAAATTTAGACCGTTGCTCAATCGTACGTTGAATTTAAACTTCGGTAATAATGCCAAGCATTCCAATGTCTGAGCATCATCCCAGAATAAGCAGTAGTTAATTGTTTGTTTTGGATAAATTTGATAAATTTCGTCTAGATTTTTATCGATGTATTCTTCAGGTGTATCGCCATCGTAACACTCAGTTTTGATTAACGCAGCTTGTAGTGGCTGACATGAGAAGTAATAGTGCGATGGTATTGTTACAATTAATTTATCTACCAATTCTTTGAATAATGAATGATAAAATCTAAGATTTTTCCTATTTTTATATGATATCATATCAATTATGTTCACAATCAACGCGTTGCAGATTATATTTTCGTCCATGAGTTTTTTCGTAAGATCAACAATGTCTGGAATTATACTATAGTCAGTTTGCCATAGGAGTTCGGTGAACTCTTCGAATTTTTTGCAATTGTTCAGCTGGTCAGCTGATAAAACAGCTAAACACATTTTGTGAGAATTATATCTTTATTCAATTAATTGAATGATCGCGATCAAACTTTCTTATGTTTTTTTATTAGTTACAGTTAATTAAAAACTATTTCCCTAATAAAACATTAAAATGACAATAACACTGTCTTGTCATGATGTTTAATTCCCCTAAGTGTTTTTTGTTTGTCACTTTTGGTAAAATTTTGGAAATTACAATTTAGATATTTTTGATAAACAATTGATATATAATCAATATTACGATACAATTTCTTTGGATTTTGTATAGTTTACAATTTTCCCAAAATGATTTCATTTTCAAAGCTATTAACAATTCTATTAAGCTAATAGAGTAAGGGTTTCGTTTTGCTAAAATTGTCACTTTTATAGCATATTTGTTTTTGGATGTTTTGCGAAACCAAAAAAAAACTATGATATACAATGTGTGTGTAAAGAAAATACTTTATTTACTAGTTAAAAAATCATTTGGTATTGATCAAGTTATTTTTTCTGGATAAGATATTATATGGATAATTGGATAGAAAATACAATTATATAATCTTGTACCTGGTTTAATTAAGCTAATTGTCATCAGAAACTTGTAATTTTTATGAATTTCAGATTTTCTTTTCATTACTGCTTTTCTTAATAGGTCAAGTTCTTATTTACGTTATAAAGTATGATATTTACAAATATCAAGTTATCGTGTTTTTTGAGAAATTATGAGTATAGATCCAAGGTGAAGTCATTTTTCTATCCCTGGGATAGACGATACACCCAAAATGTCACCTTTTTTGGGATTCTGTTTTTTTTGTTTTTTTAAGGTTCTCGCTGGCGACCCCCCACGTTCGTCGAAAAAAAATTGGTGATTGGGGGGTCGCCAGCAAAAATCAATTTTTTTTTTCGACGAATGGGGGTCGCCAGCGAGAACCTTAAAAAAAACCTCTGAAATTTTAAAAAAAAAGAAAATGTGAAAATCCCCTTGATTCGAAAAATGGACTTTACGATTATAACTTTGACTTTACCATTGAACTAATGACTCTAATGTTCGAATTATTTATTTGGTGATAATATAACTTTAATGAAAAATTAATCAGATCAATTTAGAAATATTTATTTCATAATATTGAATGAATGTATAAATCTAAATAGTATATTATCAAAAAAAAAAAATAAAAAATAAAAAAATAAAAAAAATAAAAATAAAAAATTAATAATAATAGTACCATCACCACAATTAGCAAATTCAAAAGATATATGAATTGCTATCGATCTCTTTCAAACAAACACATAGAAATTTTGATTAAGTATTTCAAATTTTTATATGAGATAAATATTGAACAGATAAAATATAAAACAATTTTTAATAATAAATATAGATATTTATTTTGTAGCCATTAAAATTTCTCGGCTATCTAATAAAATTTTGTGAGAACGTAATCTTTTCAAATTTAGTATCAATCTTTGGTCTTTTATTGTTCTCTCACATGTTGCTTCTGAAGGTGAAGCGGAGATAACACGAAGGGCGATATCTGCAAAGATTGATACATTGCCATCTCTATGAGAGATTTCTTCCCAACCGTATTCTTGACGTTCTTGAATCATATCATCAGAGAAGATATCATTATCACTATTAATATACGTGTTAAATAGTGTAATAATATCTGTTATTGTTTGACCCGGAATACGAAATTGTTCCAAAATACTTTTGAGATACTGCCTAGCTGCAACAAAATGGTTAACCGGCTGATTTGAACTAGATGTTACATCTGCGAGATCAAGCATAGGAGGGTCAATTGTAGCAGTTACCTGACGAATTGATCCCTCCTCAACCATATCAAGAGAAACTTCAGTCGAACCTTCTTCAAAGATAGAGTCCATATAGATAGATTGAATGTCTTCTACTGGATTAACGAAAGTTACGTTTGTAATATCAAATGAATTAATTGCCGGAGATTCGTTGATCTGCGCTCCGTGGACGAATTTTTGGTTGAAATAATACCTACCTTTCGGTGTAAAAGCGAAGGCTAAGCACCAAAGACCTCCAAAGTCCGATCCAAGGGTATAGTTCAACAACGATCTTGAAAGGATTCCAGCAAAAGGATTGTTGTTGCTGCTGGAAAGGTATTGGAGTGCTTCAATACCCTTGCAAAGCCATACGTAGCAATCAGATATCTTGGTTTTATCTGATTCGAACGTGGAAATAAGCTTCTTGAGAATTGCCAAGCAGTCTCTTAAGAACTTGATGTTTTCAATATCAATACGCGTATATCTTGAAATTTTGTCTTGATACTTGATAATAAACATACAAATATTATAATCATAGATCCACCTGGTGGATACATGCTTTGGACAGAGAGCTCCGATGTCTTCAACATGGATTCTACAAAGAGCTGATATTTCGTGGATATGTTTCACAATTGCTCCTAATGCTACGTCTTTTGTTGTCATATATTGATAACAATTATGAATCCTGTGGCATAAACACGGGATAAACAAGATTTTGAATAACCTTGGGTCATTTGAGTTGTAGAACGATTGATTCCATCCTTTCTGAAAACATTTCAATTGCGCTTTATTGCCATCGCAAACTACACTGCTGATCTTAACATCTCTAATGAAGATTCTGTTAAATCCTTGAGTAAGCGAGTGGATATAATCTTCAGATGTTCCACCATTCATTTGGATTGACTCAACAGGATAGGGCCGCTTGCTTTGCAGAGGATTTGTGAGGGAGAAGTCCAGATTGTGAAACTGCTGAGTCTTCCCCTCATCAATGGCAACACAGGTACAGGCAAGCTTAGCAAACTCATCAACTTTTGCAACATGGATTGAATTTGCAATTTGTATCATTGTTTGCCTTAGTTTGTCAGTTGAAATAGGCTGGTATATTTGAGAAGCTAGTTTATCAACATTGATGTTAACATTGTGTAACTGTGGGAACTTCAATATCATCGAGTCTGCAGTATACATTATAATGGTTTTAACTAGCTTTGTAAACTCTGGGCTTGAGAAGGTATTCAGAGCCAAGTTAAATCTTCCAGTAAATGTAGCAAGCTGTTCATAGATATCCCCTAACGATATAGGTGTAAGCCCTGTTGCTGGGACGTTTTGATAGTATTGATCGATTGTTTGTTGTGATGCTACTTCTCCTGGTGTGCATATGTGCCGTTTGTTTTGGATCCATTTTTTGAAATGATCCTCACGCATTTCTTCCATTGCACAGTGGCATATAGTTCGGTCAGGACGCTTTACTAGTTCATTGCATTTAACATAATATTTTCCGTACTTATCGCCTGGTTTTTTATATCTAAGATACTGATGCTTAGTACCGACCTCAATGTCTTTATAGTACATCGGTACTGCATCAATCATTGTTGAAATAATGAAGTGATTACTTAAGCATTTTTATTCTCAATTTGTTTTGAATAAATTCAATTTTTTAATGCATAGTTTTTAAAAATTCTCTAATATACCTTAGATATAGATACATTTATTATCAATTCAAAAATTTCAATATAGTTTTGGGATGGGTAGCCCATCCCATATATTCAAATTTTCAATGATTTTGGGTTGGGATTCCCAGACCAGAATAATTTCTAATTATAATTCGTAAAAATATATGTATATCTCATTATTACATCATTTAATATATTTTTAGTTAAATAGTCACTATTTTCACAATTTTTATTATTAATTACTGAACTAAACAGGTTTCAAATAGAAAGAGTATAAAAGATAAGTGTTTTTCTACATGTGTTTCGATAAGAATTATAATAATTGATGGTTTTTACAGCCAAATTTATTTTATTATTTAAATTTCAATGAAAAAAGATAAGAATTTTTTAATAAAAATTTTTTATTAAGAATTTTTTTTGTAAAATTGACACTGGGATGACGATAGGGCTGGGATCTTATCCACCCCGTTCATTTGGGAAAATTGCAGATCTATAAATTATGAGAAACAAACAAAAATGAAAAAGATAGGAATAGCAATGAATAGTGATGTGGGTATAGAAATGTAAGAGATATGAATGCAAAGCAATCAGTATTTAGGATATTGACCATAGATTTCGAAAAAAAAATGCTGCATATTGAGCGAAAACTATGATTATATTATAAGGCTGTCATTTAAAGCATAATGAAACTATTCCCTTTTCATTTTAATCGAATAAGATAGTAAAGATTTTTGAATTAGCTAGAAACCGATGAGATGTTTTCACAAATCAGATTTTTAATCTCTATAATGCATAATTCACTCAATATCTCAATTTTGATATTGCGAGATATTTTTGCTATCGGTTTCGCAATTTTGACATGTTATAGACCGAAAATAGATTTTTTCGGTTTTCTCTTCAAATAATTGAAAGAATGATACTATTATAGGTTTATTATATTATATAGCATATAATCATGCTATAGCCGAAAATTATAAGTTTTGAGAAGATTGAATATAACACAAATAAATTTGAATGTAAGTTAAATTGCTTGTTGTTTTTAATAGCTATTTAATGAGAAATCCAATATTGCAAAATTCAAATTGAATGATTGAAAGAACAGAAAAAGTCATTCTTTTCAATTTCGAATTTGTTTCATTGTATTTATAATTATATGGCAAATAAGATATTTAAACTTGATTTTTGAAGGAAAATTCACAAAATTGAATAAATTCAAATAATTTTTATTCAAAAATAAACTAGTTATTTGAGTTTAATACTAATTATCTATTCAAACTACAAAGTTTGTAATTTAAAATATTTTGTGAGATCAGCTTGAATTAATTCAAGGTTCTTTTCAATTAATATTAATGACCATATTACGCATTTTCGAACATTCTAAACCAAATATATAAAAATGGGAGACGAATGTTAAATTTGCTAGACATGGGGGAGTTGTCTGCAAAGTTTTAGCTCTTATCTCTAACAAAAAAAATTTTTAAAAAAATGACCGAATACGTTTCACAGCGAGAAAAAAATAAAAGGCAAGATAGAATTTTCTAGACATAAAGAAGTTGTTTACCGAGTTTTAGCTCTTATCTCTAACAAAAAATTAATTTTTAAAAAAATGACCGAATACGTTTCACAGCGAGAAAAAAATAAAACTGTACACTGATTTTCATTTTCATTTCCAGTCACTTTACTTATTATTTTTCTTTTTTTTCATTTTAATTATAAATTATTTCGTATTACGTTTATTTACGTTACCATTTTCTTTATTCTTTTGAATTCCATACTAGACACTTATAGAATATTTTGATTGTTAACGTACTTCATTAGAATGAATCCTTACAAAGGGTATGTCGATCGAATTTACCTAATTGGTATTTCCAATCAGATTGAAGAAGGTAAAATGACATGGGAAGAAGCTTGCACCCATGTTCCCATCGCCCCAACCTTCAATCAAATGATTTCAAATATTTAGATGTTTCAAAATCTTTTTTACAAAATCAATTTAGCTTACAGAATATCCCATTGCCTAAAGGCAAGAAAGGTCGTAGGGTCAATCCCTACGACCAAATCAAAGCTCTTGCTGTGATACATGACCACTGGGCCTTTCCCTGTGGTCAAACAAAACAATGGAAACGTTTGAAATTACAACAAATTGATGTATCTTATAGAGAAGTACGCAGATACTTCAAAGAAAATCATTTCACCAAGACGCGATTAGAGCATGCCGGGCCAGAAACAGCAGTAAGATATTGGGCGCTTTCACCCAATCTTATCTGGCACGCAGATGTTCATTATTTTAGGGGTGTTCGTGGCCAATATATTTATGGCATAATCGACGATTTTAGCCGCAAAGTCCTAGCGTATATACAAATACCAGATATGCTGGCAGCGACGACAGCGAACGTTGCGGCTTCCGCCTTCATTGAATTTGGCGCCCCTTATTGTTTCTGGACCGACAACGGTTCAGAAAATAGGGGCGCCTTTCAAGATCTACTTGATCTTTGGGGCGTCCAATGGCGGCATACAGACTCTCATTCTCCCTACCAAAATGGGAAGATTGAGAGATTCTGGCCGCCATTGGAGCGCTGCCAAAGCATTCAGGCTATTCCTGCCTTTATTTGGGAGTACAATAATAACACACCGCATGAAGATCTCCCAATTAATCCATTAACCGGAACAAATTACACGCCAAATCAAATGTATCAGCTGAAACCGAAATACACAAATGCAGATACAGAAAGGTTGTGGCAAATATGGGATACAGATACAGGCATGACCGCTGTTGACACATTCACAGCGTAATAATAAACATAATTTTTTAATTTCATTTTTAACAAGTTTTTTTAAATGTATGTAATAATTCATAATTAGTATATGCACATTGTAACAGAATAGAACAATCACCAAAATTTTTTTTGAAATTAAAAAATAAAAGTAAAAAGTATAAAGTAATCTAACCGAAAAAGATATTTAAAAGAATTTTGGAAAAAACAGAATAAGGATAATGATATTATTTTAGATACACAATCGATGTATTGAAGAATAATCCGGTAAAATGATGATATAAAATTAGATTATTTTACAAGTAGCTAAAAGAATAAAACTATAATATAAAATAAATGAAGTTTAATGAAACAATAAAGGTTAAATAAATAATAAAGATTTTTATTTTATATCAGTATTGAGAAGAAGTAACAGCTGACACTTGGAAGACAACTTCTTTATGTCTAGAAAATTCTATCTTGCCTTTTATTTTTTTCTCGCTGTGAAACGTATTCGGTCATTTTTTTAAAAATTAATTTTTTGTTAGAGATAAGAGCTAAAACTCGGTAAACAACTTCTTTATGTCTAGAAAATTCTATCTTGCCTTTTATTTTTTTCTCGCTGTGAAACGTATTCGGTCATTTTTTTAAAAATTAATTTTTTGTTAGAGATAAGAGCTAAAACTTTGCAGACAACTCCCCCATGTCTAGCAAATTTAACATTCGTCTCCCATTTTTATATATTTGGTTTAGAATGTTCGAAAATGCGTAATATGGTCATTAATATTAATTGAAAAGAACCTTGAATTAATTCAAGCTGATCTCACAAAATATTTTAAATTACAAACTTTGTAGTTTGAATAGATAATTAGTATTAAACTCAAATAACTAGTTTATTTTTGAATAAAAATTATTTGAATTTATTCAATTTTGTGAATTTTCCTTCAAAAATCAAGTTTAAATATCTTATTTGCCATATAATTATAAATACAATGAAACAAATTCGAAATTGAAAAGAATGACTTTTTCTGTTCTTTCAATCATTCAATTTGAATTTTGCAATATTGGATTTCTCATTAAATAGCTATTAAAAACAACAAGCAATTTAACTTACATTCAAATTTATTTGTGTTATATTCAATCTTCTCAAAACTTATAATTTTCGGCTATAGCATGATTATATGCTATATAATATAATAAACCTATAATAGTATCATTCTTTCAATTATTTGAAGAGAAAACCGAAAAAATCTATTTTCGGTCTATAACATTCGCAATTTTGACACAATAGCAAGAGGGTTCTATAAGCATTATTATCAACGTAGAATCTGAATATCATATCAGAAAATGTCGCAAATCCGACATTTACCCGACCAAATAGCAAAAATAATTGAATACTTTTCGCAAAAACTTTAAAAATCGATAAAAATATGAAATATAGATATTAAAGAGACTTTTTATATAATATTCATAAAGATTTTCCAAAAATATGATACCGCAAAATTAAAAAAGTGACGTCTTGAGTGGAGTCAAAGGTCGAAATTGCTAGCTAAATGTTTTTTAGCGAAATTGCGTATTGTACGTTTTTTTTGCAAAACGAAACCCTTAAATAGAGTGAATTTTTTTCAATTCAATTTTTTTTTTCACTCTATTTCGAATGGCGCGGACAGGGCGTTTATTTCATGTTGTGATTACTCATTATCCTGAAAATCGAAATTGTATGTATGTTGGCAATTGTAACGGAACACTGGTTACAAATGAAAGCGTCATAAATCAAATTAAAAAACACCTTGAGCCTTTTCTGCAAAACACAGCTCAAGAGCTTCCAAATATCACAAACTATATTCAGACATCCTCAAATGAATCAATAAAAACCGAACCACAAAGAATTTCTCAGATAATAATTCCACCGGAGTTTTCTCCACTTTGCGATCAAATCGATTTGTTTGATAATGACATTTCATTAGATTCGTTCGATGGCGACTTCACTTGATACTTATTCATCTTTGATTTTGCAATGAAAATCCGAAAGTGCGATCTTATTGCAAAACAAAGAATATTCCTTCATTAATAAAACCAATTATTGGGAATTATTTTTTATTTTTCTATGAGGTTAATATCTTATCTTCTAATAGCTGACCATTTATGTAGATATATAATATCAACTTTGTATTATTGCATCTAATCATCTTCTTTGTCTTGGTTCTCTTTTTCATCCTTATAAGAAGTGATTTGAAATTTCAGAAATAAAAATAGAGAAAAGGGCGAAGAAATAAAGAAAGATGCTAAATAATTTTCAAATTTGAATATGATTTGTATTATTCTCTTATAATATAAAGAACATGAGATAAAAATAGCTATATAAGAGTTTACTGAAACGATCTCCACCATTGTGAATGAATATTCATCTAATTGAATATGAATATTTTATTTGCAAGCGCTTATACTTGTTATTATAAATTGGTTTGCTATGCTCTTCAAATTGGATTATTACGATAACTATATCACTGTGTTTACAAGCTTTTTAGCGTAATAATTTTCATTTTTTTGCTAAAATATTTGGATAACGCTAATGTGTCTGTTTTCAATCTTCAGTGACTGCATACTAAACTAGTAAAACTTTACCATAATGCATTCAAGTGCAATTTAAAAATTATTTTCAATTTTTTACTAAAACTTGTATATTTCTCTGACAATTCTTTTTTAATCTTTAATAACTGCATCTTAACTTTACAAAGTGTTCTTACCTTACCTAGAGCTAATTACAGAAATAATTTTAATTCTTTTAATAAAACTTGTATATTTCTCTGACAATTCTTTCTTCAATCTTTAATGACTTCATCTTAACTTTACAAAACGTTCTCACATTACCTTGAAAACTTAATTAGCTAATTACAGAAATAATTTTCAATGTATCACTAAAATAAGTTTAATTCTCTTATAATTCTAACTTAAATCTTTTTTGACAATATATTGGTTCATGACATCTATATTAAAAATGATTTTTTTAATAAACAGTAACTTTATTAATAAAACAAACATATAAGTCAATCAGTAAAATCAGATATATCACCTGATGATCTCAGTTTGTGCTTTTTGTAGCATTTCGTGGCTACAACAACTACAACAACAATAAATGAAACAATTAAAAGACTCAAAACAACACAAATCACAATAAATATCGGATATATGTTTCTTTCAACATTAGACAAAGTTGGATAAGGAGTAAAGTCAACAGTTGAAGAATTTGTTGAACTTTTAATGAAATAGCTTGGTTGTGGCGATGCAAATGGATCAGACTTAAAGAAACAGTCATATAATATCAATGTCCTCAAGAAACGTTCGAAATTAGGACATTTGTACTTATAAGTGTAAATATAATTAATTTTGTCTGTATTTGCGTCCAGTTTGCATTGGAAACTAAATAATTCAGTAGAAAAGTTCAGTGTCTCTTCATCTACGATATCCGTCTTCAAACAACGTCCAATTAAAGGTAAAGTCGCATAACCTTCCGGACAAACTTCAATTGGAAGTTTAAACCGCTGGAAATCATTGAATGTGTTATCTACAACCATTTTCTCGTTCAACGGGTTGTAAAATTGGATTCCATCGCAATATTTTTTCGTTACAGGGTCAAATGGATATCTGCAGTCAGGGGCGGTTGTTTCTGAGGCCAAACCATAGAATTTGTAGTCAAAACCGCATTGATCATTTGAATTTCCTTTGAGAAGATACAAATCAGGGAATTTTAACTGGGGAGGACCAGTTGCGAAGTCGTCAATGTACTTGTTTTCTGATATAGTATCTCTATTACCCCATAAAAGTGGTTGTATCTGTTTGAAATCAATTTTATAATTTCCTGTATCGAGTAAAACAGCAGCTGTTGCATCAGTGAAGTGCATAAATCTATTATTACCTACTATCTGTTGCGACATCATGATATCTGTCATGTAAACTCTTGTTTCGAGGTGATTAAATTTTGAAATTCCTGTTCCATCGTTTTCTAGCTCGATTCCTGAAGGACAAGTTGCACCATTATCACCAACAAATGTCTCTTGGTTGAATCTCTTGACTGCAAACTTATGGGCGTAAGGAGTAATTAAAAATGTAAAATTTTTCCCTAATTTTGTAAAAGAACAAGTGGTTTCATTGAATTTTGTAAAGTCATTTATCGGATGATAATCTTCGAACCTCGAATATGAAAATCCAAGTAAATGAACAACTTCATGCAGACAAAGGTAGAAAAATCCGTTTTTCCATGTCGTTATGTTAACAGGCTCATCGGGTATTTCAAATGCGTTAAAGAATATTCCTCCTTGGTTCGGTTTATACGATGGAGATTCAAGTTGTTTAATTGTTGATACTGCAGCAGTTGAAGAGGCACCATATGGACGTACAAATATACTAATATATAAATCAGTATCAACAGCTTGTGTGTCTTTGATTTTTCCTTGATTATCTGAACATTGTGACAAACTATAGGGTGAATTATAAATTCTTCGAACTTTAAATGTATTTTCTACCCATAGCTTCACGAAGTTGAATGTTCCAATTAATGCCTTTCGCTTGGATTCTGTTAATAAATCTCCTTGATAGCATTTAAATGTTCCTTGACTCCAGGTAATGTATTGACCTTCTTCTTTGAACAATAATGGGTCATTTGCGCCTTCTAATAGGCTATCAAAGTCAAATTTTAATATAATATTTTCCCATTTATAAGAAGAAATATCAGCATTCATACTAGATTTAAGCATTTCTATTTTTGGTTTTAAATCTTGTGAAATTCAATTTTTATTCAAAATATTCAAAGGGATATTTTGAATTTTTCAAAGTCAGGGATTTCAATATATACGAGCGTCGGGTTGCAACATTAATATCCATATTATACTCTCTTGAAATATCATATTTTCGTTAAAAAGTTATCGATAATTTTGATAGGATCAAATATGTTATTTGATTATAGTATATCTAGAAAATCGGAAAATTAAATGTTGTAATATGAATGTAAAAAAAATTTCTTACCGCTTACATCATGAATGATCTAAATTGAAATACATTTTGGGCAATGGGGCTATCACAAAAGAAACATAAAAAGAGTTACATTCTGACAATATACAATAGAATTTTATATAAATAACATGATAATATCAAACAAATTAAACGTGGAGGCATTAATGGATATACTAGAATCAATACAAACTAAAATTAACCACATTGGTTTTAAGTGCAAGCTTGGAAGGAGTAGTTTCTTGGATAGGATGCTTAAGAACACAACTTGACCACTTATTTATTGGACCCTGCCTATTCATAGGAAGCTTCACTCTTCCACTGCATGTTGGTTTGGCTTTCAAGGAATTCTTGATTACAGAATTAACCTTTAATATAGGTAATGATGATCTGTAGCAATGCCTGAAGTATGGCATGCTTAAAAGTTCATCAATGGATGCTCTATCATTCGGATCAACTTTCAAACACATTGAGATGACATCTTGCAGTTCTAAATCCGAAATATTCCTCGATTTGTATTGGCCTGTAAGAATTACTTCCTTCAAACTATCAATTGTTTCAGATCTGAATGGGTATTTACGTGTGGCTAAGAAATAAAAAGTGACGCCCGCCGCCCAGATGTCACTTTTCATTGCATTGTATTCTTCTTTTTTAATTAATTCCGGTGACATGAATAAAGGTGTTCCTGTATATCGGCTTGCTAAGAAAGATTCCCTAATGAGTGAAGATAATCCAAAATCGCATATTTTGAGCCTACCATAAGAATCTATTAAGAAATTTGATGGCTTAATATCTCCATGTGCAATTTTTTTGTCATGACATGCTTTCAAAGCCTGTAGTATCTCAAAACAATATTTTCTAACTGTCTGTGGATCTATGTTTTTGTTTTTCCGTATGAAACTGTCTAAATCGGAAACACAATATTCCATCAATAAGTAGACGAAGCTATTATATCTATAGCATTTGTATAAAGAGATAATGTTTCTGTGATCAAGAGAAGTAAGAGTTTCTATTTCAAGTTGATTAAATCCTTTCAATGGTACTTTTTTTAGTGCAAATTCTGCTTTGTACTGTGTTGAATAAACTAATAATATAGTGCCATATCCACCTTTAGCTATGACATCTTTACAGATAATTCCAAGGGAAGAAAAATGCTCGTATTCTTTTTTCTCCATCTGATAAAATAATTTTCAGAAAAATAAAATTGAGATAGATGGGCAAATTAAATGTATCGGATAATACTTTTGTAAATGATCAATGGACAAATCTAAAAGGAGAAATATATAAGATTTGATGGGATCATTGAAATTTTGAACGTTCGATTGTGATTATTGAATGATGTCTCTTAAAAAGTCATATTATCAAATTTTGGCATATATCGGACAATACCTAAAATGTCATATTTTAAAATTATTTGAGTTAACTAAAATTAAATTGATCAATAACCATCAGAATTTAATTTTGATTTATTATACAAAGCAACAGCCACATAATAAAATATTCCGAGAGAAATTATTGAAAATTTGAATATCAATTTTTTGAATGAACAATATAAATTTATATTTGATATAATGAAAGAATTATATCATATGCATATATTCTAAATTATTAAATAAAAAAACGTTATTGATTTTAAGTTCGTAAATTAGATTTTTATGTGCATACAGATTTATCGAATAATATACATTTTGCACGGCTAAATATTTCTTCTCAAATTTCTTTTCAAAAAAAAAATTACGTTCTTATTTTGATTAGCAAATGAATTTTATCGGTGCATGCATGGCTTGAATATGCTATCTCAATTATGATTTCTCAACTCAAAATCTTAAATTTTGAATTGAATAATCAAATTAGCCTTATTTCATAAGATAATTGTAATGAGAGAATAGTTTATTAAGCATTTAGAACAAACAATTAAAATAATTCAACAAAGATTAAAAATTATAAAATATTTGCAACAGATTCAGAATCAATAACTCCTGAATTATTATCAGCATCCCATTTAGGAAGTGTTGGATTGTAGCATACAAAGAACGGGAAGATCCAAGTGATAAAATAGTATCTTTTTCCGCAAACTTCTTCGCAATTTGCACATGCACTTCCTCTGTCATAAAGAGATGGCTTGTTATTGTAGTTCTCCGTGATTGTCCTATTCCTCGATAAATTCCGAAGAGATATGATGAAATGTCTGAAAGAAAACACAGAAATATATGAGGCAAAGACAACTGTAACCAAAATCAAGGCTGCCATTGTAATTTCAACGGCATCATACTTTTTCTTGGCAATATGGTAGATTGCTTCGTAAATTGTTGATATCTGGGATAAAACATATGTAATAGAGTAAATTGTAGCCCACATTGTTGTCATTATGAAATATTTATGGTTATGAAAGCCAATCCATGTTTGCATGTATGCGCAAATGTGGTCAGCACGTATAACAAATCGGCGAGCATTAACACTGAATGATGATCTCGTTGGCATTGGTTGAGATTTTGCAAAATCTTCTTGTTCTTGGAACATTGCAACACCAGTCATCATCTCATTCCATGTGTATTGAGTTTTCCTAGTCAATGACCAGTTATATGGATAGTATCCTGGACCTTTGATCATAGCTGTAAAATATGCGAATGATAAGCAGAAAAACGCAAAGCCACCGAATATCTGTAAGCCAAATGCGACATTGTAATGCTTTGTAAACCAATCTGATTTGTTAAAGAAAAGAGAATATGAAAAGAAACCTAATGACGCCAAAAACAAGCTGCAGGCGAAGATAACTTTTGGTAATTTTACAATCCAATGTCCCCAAATGCGGATTTTTGCAGCAGGGAAGTAAGCACATCTGCAACAATTTGTTTTGCCGCCGCAACAACTCCTATCTTCCCATTCAGTAACGTACAGTTCTTGTCCTTCTTGAACGTAGACTATTGGTTCAGGAATAAGTGGTTTCGCAATGCCCGACATCTGAATTTTATTTTTTTATTTTATCTGTAAAAAATTTCAAAAGAGTTCTGAATGAAGTAGTCCCTCATTTATTTTCAACATACACATAACTGTACATGTAAAGATACAGAAAACAACAATAAATTTCCTGTCATACCACATTCTACTTTGGGATTTGACGTGACAACTAATATTTGCCACATGGCATTACATATATGTTCTACACTTGTGAATTTTTGATAACCTTGTTACATTAAGCTTAAATTACCCAATTTATTGAAAATTTAAAATTGAGTCAAAAAAGAATGAGTAATCTTATATATTGAATAGAGAAGAGATGAAAATGAAAATTTCAAGTCACATTTGGATGATGAAACAAATAATAAGTTTTTGAATTCAAATCAAAGACATTAAATGATGAGAAGATGCATAAGTAGTAGTTTGCATTAAATATTAGCATAATAAAGATAAAAATATATATTTACAAATTAAAAATTATAACCAATCAGTGTATGATTCATAATCACCTCTAAAAGTTGTGTGAACAGCAAGGTTCTTTTGAACAATGTCTGTTAACATTATTCTGGAAGCAATTTCTGCATCAAATGCACCAGAAACATATCCTATACTTCCGAAATCAACAGAATAGGTCAAGTTAAAATTCATTTGTTTCATTTCAAACAAATTAAATGAATAACTTTCGATTCTCTCTCTTTCTTGGTCAATCAATTCATAAAGTTGATTTGCAAAGTATTGTTCTCCACGTGAATATTGTATCAAACAGCATTCAAATAGACTTAATTTGACAGAACGCAACAAATCAGCTTTTTTCTTCAAAATGTCAAAGCAATTTTTGGCATTATATAAAATGCTGCAATTAATCAATGTCATTTGATCGCTTGTATAAACTTCATTGACGTTTAAACCATGTTCAATGAATAGTTCTAATATATCACTTCTGTCTTTCGAAACAGCTTCCAAAGCCGGAGAAAACAAATAATAAAATCCTTCGACATTTTTCAATTCAGCGCCTTTTTCTAAAAGTGATTTAATTATTTCTAAGTTTCCAACACGTGATGCTAGATACAATAGTTTAGAATTATCTTCATCATTTGTTATCATGTCCTTGCCAGAAAGAACAGAGTAAACATTCTTAAACTTATTTGAAAATTCAGAAATTTTTGATTCAATTTTTTCTGTGTAATCTGCAAAAGAAAATTCCATATTCAAGTAAAAAGATCCAATGAACTCTCTAAACTTAGAAGAGTACATAACAAGTAGATAAAGAGCTTCAACAATATCATTAATTTCATTAAACTTGATTTCATCCAAATCGTCACTTTTTGTAATTTGATATTTTTGTTCAAATTTTTTAGAACTCAAAACTAAATCAACCAAAAGGTCTTTTGTCTTTGTAACATCAGGATAATACTCTTTGAGGTTAAAGTATCTCTTCTCTATCTCTGGGTTGATTTGGTCCTTAATATTTTGGAAAATTCTCGATTCTTTTGAACATCTTCCAAAAATTGCTTTGAAAATATTTTTCTTTTGATCATCTTTCTTTGAAATTATAATAAAACCATTTTGAACATGATTAAAAGCTCCTGGATTATCGAACATTACTGCGTATTCTATTGGCAGTTTTCCATTCATCATTATATCAAGTCTTGTTCCATGATTAATAAGTTCTTCAACAACAGCCAATTTATTCTTTTCAATCGCATAAAACAAAGCAGAAACTTTCGCTTTTTGAGAGAATTCGTATTTAAACAAAAACTCGGAATGTTCAAATTTATAATTTGAGTCAATCAATTTCTTCAAGAAAACCGATTCATTCTCTATTTTCCCGATGTTTTCAATGTATTTCTTTGTCTTAATAGATATCAACAACTTCATTGCTGGATCTACATTTCGCAAGTTCAAATCCTTATAATAAGAAATCGGAATCAATTCAAAAATTTTAATCATTTGTTCTGTATTTAATTTTCTACTAAACAGTTCTGTAGCAATTGACACATCATCACTGGATTTATTACAAGTAAGAGCATTAATCAACAAATCAGTTGTCAAATACTTGTTGTATTTTTCATAATCAACCATGAAAACAACGTAATCATTGATACTATTTTGAGATAATAATAATTTCATTGATTCATCATTTGGTTGAAAATCTTCCAAAAATTTCTTAACAATGTTTTGTTTTAATTGCATTTCTGTTTTTGGAGGATTATGTTGAAATGTTTCGTTTTGATTTGATTTATTAGATATTTTTGTTTTTTCCCAACGTGTTGAAATAGATTTTGTAAATGGATTACTGATCCAGGAATGGGAATTGGAATTGTATTTGTATTTGTATTTATTCGGCCATTGAGAGATTGCTCCAGAACCAAATGTAGCTGTTGATTGTCCTTGAGAGCTATTATTAGTTTTGGGAGATGATTCATCATCTAATTCAAAAATTTCTTCAATTGTCAAATATTTGACATTTTCAAGATTGTTCATTAGTCTTCTCATGTCTGGATTAATTGTTTTGATGTAGTCAAACTCTTCTTTAGTGAAAGCAAGACGAGAATAGAAAGATGAACTGTTGAAAATCTCTGAAATTTTTTCGAGATTTACAAATTGACGGTTTTGATCCAAAAGTAAGTAATCCAAGACACTTTCTAAGTTTTTGACTGATGATCTCATAGTTAACTGTGCCATTATATAATAATGAAGCATTTTGTCAAACATTTCTTGAGAAAATGTTTGAATTTTGAAATCAATTTTGAGTTGGATCAAAACAGGCAAAATATTAATTATAGCTGCTGGATTCTTTGTTATATAATCATTGTATGCTTCTTTCTGCATTATTGAGTTAATTAAAACTTTTATATCATTTAAATTTTGAGGTTTTAAAAGTCCTGTCCTCCTCTTTAAGTAACTCAAGTTAATCATCGCAATTGGATCCAAACGAGAATCTTCTTTAAAAGGAAAATTAATTTTCTCGTAAGGATTGAAACAAGCAAAATGTAGAAGGTATTTGAACTCATCGTCAGTGAATAACTGCTTTGATAGATGTGTTGACAAATAATAGTACATAAATGGTGAAAGTTGAAGCAAATTTAATAATTCATTTTTGGAAAAATCAGAAATTGAATCAGAAATGAACATATTTAAATCGGCAAGTTCACATCTATCTAAATAATACTTGATTATCATGGTCTTTGCCTCATTTGAAAGAGGAAAATTTGAATTATGTAATTTAATTAAATCTTTTGGAGATTGATTCTGATTTATCTTTGTTATTAAAAAGTTCTTGAGATAAGAATCTTCAATGATGTGTTCGATTTTTAGAACATTAAATTTTGGATGGTCAAGAAAAACGTTTAAATGAATGATATCAAGATTTTCAAGACAATTATTGAAACATGAATTGATGAATTGATCATCAGCGTTGTTTATGATGTTACTTATTGTTACTGGATCATATGCAATTGAAAATATTGTTGAATTGTATTCAGAATACTGAGAAAGTTCTTGAGTAAGAACATTAATTCCATCCATTACTAAACAAAGCAAATAATTCTGACATTTCAGTAATTTCTTTGGATTTCTGACATGAAATGAATGAAGTGTTCGTATTGAGAATGTTTCTGAGAAATAATAGAATTTGCTGCCTGTATTGAAATCTTCTTCTTTGAATTTATTGAAAATAAACCAATCATAAATATTATCATGTCTAAAAATCAAAGGAATCAAGGAATATTCCTTGCAATTGGTGTCAGAATCACCTACAAGGTTAATTATTTCTTCAGCTCCACTGGCTAATGCGTAAACGTTGTAAACAGTTTGAAATAATTTAATGTCAATTTTTAATTTGTTATCCCAGAAGTATTTGAAGATCTTTCGTGCTCCATAAAAACATGCAAGTTGAAGGAGTTGAATTTTTGCTCCATTATACAAATAAATTTGTTTTAAGTCAAAATCGGTTTTTTTCGATAATTCAGCAAAGAATTGAAAGTCATCATCAATGATATGATCAAGATATTCATATGGAAACTGTGTTGCTTGTACATCGCATTTTGAAAAAATTAAACCGTACAAATAATCCAAATTTGAAGATAATTCAGGATCTAATGGAGAACTGAGAAGTTTTGATTCATAGTATGAATTTTCATCAGCTTTATGTAAGTAATAACTGAATTGATCTGAAACATAAAGGGATTTGGTGGCTAATAAGCGTACATTTCGAGATAAATTCATGTACAAATAAACGTAGTCTTTAACATGTTTCGGTCTTAGCCAGATATTAATCTCTAATTCGTGTAAACCTGTTTGGATGTTTGTTTCGATAAATTCTAGAAGCTCTCTTGTTTGTTCATCGTTTTGAGAATCATATGAACTAAAAAGTTGTTGTATTCTGCTTAAATGTGTATAAGCTTCGGATAATTGATCAGTTGCGCATTTTTCTGGAGATAATAGAAGGTCTTGTTCCATAATAAATACTGGACTTAACTGAAGAGCAGTTATAAGATTTTGAACTTTTGATCCAAAAGAAGTTTTATTAAAACTATCTTTTGGGTTTGTTTCAAGATTGACAAATTGTTTTTTGGAAATTGATCGATTGATTACGTGCGATTGTCCTGTAAGTATCTTCTTCATTAGCTAATTATGCAGGAAAAATAAAAAAATTTAAAAAATTATTTTATTCAAGATAATGAAAAACATTTATTAATAGATACATAATATTAACTCCATATAACTTATTAAAAAAAGGTAGTGGGGCTTCCAGGCGCGTTGCGCCCTCTAGCCCCGAAGATGTTTAGTATAAATGAAGTTTTTATTCGGAGGGCTTCCAGGCGCGTTGCGCCCTCTAGCCCCGAAGATGTTTAGTATAAATGAAGTTTTTATTCGGAGGGCTTCCAGGCGCGTTGCGCCCTCTAGCCCCGAAGAAATTTTGCCCAAGACCCAAGAGGAGGACCGAACCCCAGCCGACCAGCCGGTGACAAAACCAAAACCGTTGTTATTTACATCATATTAATGGTGTCACTTTTTAAATGTCACTTTTTGTGTCACTTTTCACAAATTATATATGTTTTCATGTTTTGTCACTTTTCTGTCACTTTTCGGGTAAAAACATTTTTATTATTATATATAAATGAATTTTACAAAACCACCGTTACCGTTCTTTGGAAATAAGAGTAAATGTAAAGATATTATATTGAGAGAACTTAAGAAACTACCGAATGGTCTAACATTTGTAGATTTGTTCGGTGGAAGTTTCTATATATCCCATTTATGTCATACCGTATTTCCTGACTCAAAGATTATATGCAATGACTTCGACAACTATATGGACCGTCTCAAACATATTCCAGACACAAATAATATATTGAAAGAGTTAAAAGAAAAGATACCTATAGGTAAGATGGAACGTATACCATTAGATAAGAAAAATATTGTGAGAGAGGTTTTGAAAAAAGCAGAATATATAGACTGGGATAGTATATCTGCTAGACTATTATATAGTGGTGCTATAAGAGTTCATGACATTGAAACACTTATGTCAAAAGTTTTATATCTTAACTATACAAATGTTTTCAAAGAGGACATAGAAAAATATATTGAGGGTATAGAGTTTGTGAGATGTCATTGGACAGAGTTGTATGAAAAATATAAAGACAAGGAAAATGTTTTCTTTATAGTGGACCCGCCGTTCTATAACACATGGGATTTTCAATACCAAGTAGACTGGACTTTGAGAGACTCTTTAGAAACTTTAGACGTTATACATAACCATCCATGCTTTTACTTTACATCCGATAAAAGTGGTTTGGAAACCGTTATGAGATGGTTAGAGGACATACATGACTATGAGTTTAGATATGACAAGATAGAATATGAGAGAGGTCCTATAAACCGGAGAAAGTGTCACAATAAAGAAATTTTATTAGTAAGTAAATGTGGTTTGAAATAGGACTACTTGTTTTAGGTTTTTTCCATTGTGTCATTTATTTATTTGACGTGGCAGAAAAGTACAGAGAATATGAAGATGAACCAATGCCTGCAAATGTTCAGTATATGTACTCGTAAGAGATATTTTTATCTAATATTAAATGGACGCACAGAACTTAGCGAATGCACAGCAACCTGGACAACCAAACCCAGAGAATATTCCAAATGAAGTTAGAATACAAACTGCAATGGCAAACTATGGTCAAGTGCCAACAGATGTACAAATGCAAACTGCCATGTCAAATGACGCTGCGTTAGGTTTGCCACCATGGTATGCAAATATGAGATGGAAAGAGTTTTATACAAACCCTGAAGTGGGATATAAACAACTTTATGCAGATGACGCGAACACAGGAGTTGACCCAGAATATGTTTTCTACCAGAGGAGAAACAGAATGTATGAGCTCCAGTTAAAGAATGCTATGGAACTCAACAGGAAACGTAAGAAACTAGGTGGACATTAGATTTTTACTACTAGTAAAATGGGTTTCTTCAGTAGTATTGGAAACTTCTTTCGAAATGTTGGAAGAGGTATATGGAATGGAATAAAATCTGTCGGAAGAGGAGTATGGAACGGTATCAAAAATATTGGTAAAAGAGTAGGTCAGTTCGTTGGTATTATACCTAAAGACGCTGAACCAGAAGAACAAGCCCCTGTTATACAACAACCTGAACCTGCACCACAGTCAAGTTGGCAACCAAATCCAACACCTCAACCGTATTAAAAAATTATATTTTTATCGTTCGATAGTAGTTGTATATGAAACTAAGTTCTAAGTAAAACGCATGGTATAATGGAATTATTCTTTTTCTTCCATCTGTAGTAAACCATACTTGAAAGTCTGAAATACTTCCACTCGGCGGTTCATATAACTTTGTAGGTTTTTCGTAAAAGTCATTTGCCAAGCATAAGAAAGAGTTTTGCGCACCAGAAAATGAAGCATGAACAATAATAGCATCTTGGTCGAAAACATCTTTAAATAAATATGGTTCATCTCTTGCATATCGACTGTAAATATTTGCTAAAGGAAGTTCGACTTTCTGATTTAACATTCTTTGCAAATAATACCATGACATTGCAGTGAATTCTGTATATATTTGTTCGTCTTTATTTGGATTGTTTTCGTAGATTTGAAATGACACTTGTGAATTTTGTTTGTCATATACAATTCTCACATAAAGTGTGCTATCGGTATTCGCATATTCATCAGCATATTTTGCATAACATGAATTTATTTTATCTTCTATATTTTTTAACGCAGTCTGTAGAGAAGATGAAAGGTCAACTTGTATTAGCTCAATTTCTTCCCACATTTTTCGTTTCCCTTCAGATATATAATCTATATGAAACCTTACAATAAATGGAAAACTTTTATCTTCTACAGACACAAATTTTATTCTTCGAAAGCCAATAGATTTAGTAACAGATGGGTCTCTTAACCATCTTAATGGGTAGTCAAAACGATAGCCTTCATGCTTTATAGTATCTAAGTCAAACTTTTGACCGACATTAGTAAAAAGTTCATCTAATGGTTTAGTTGTAGCAACTCTAGAATTTTCTTTTTCTATTGGAAGCATATTTTATCTATAATAAAAATGTCAAATGAAACAGCGTCTATGAGAGAAATACAACACAACCGACAACTCATTATGCAAGCTCTAAATAAGAACACAACAAACTTTTCAAACTATGCTAAAATATCTGAGTCATTGAAAGAAGGAAACCTAAAACTGACAATAAACCCTATGACAGATGAGTTTCTGTTTCAAGACAATAAAAACAATACTGTCTGTATAAATCCAACAAAAGGAACTTTAAACGAGAAACCTATAAATGAACTTCTTTTGAAAGCAGATGTTGACAACAAAGCTGACAAAGAATATGTAGACGATGCAATAGCAAAAGAAGAAGAAAGAGCTAACAATGCTTATGCAACAAAAGAACATACTCATCCTGAACTAGCAGACAAAACATATGTTGACAATAAAATGTCAAGTGAAGTGACAAGAGCTGAAAACAAATATTCTAAAAAGACTCATATACATTATATTAACCAAATACCAAGTCTTAAGGAAACATTAGAGACAAAAGCAGATAAGACTCATACACATTCTATATCTGATATTACAAACTTACAAGAAACCTTAAACAAGAAAAGTGACGTTGGACATACACATTCTATATCTGATATTACAAACTTACAAGAAACCTTAAACAGGAAAAGTGACGTTGGACATACACATACCATTGCAAATATTACAAACTTACAAGAAACCTTAAACAGGAAAAGTGACGTTGGACATACACATACATCTTCTGAAATAACAGACTTAAACGTTAGCCTTGAAAAGAAAGCAGATAAAACATATGTCAATGAAATATACCAAAGTTTGATAGGAACAAAAAATATTGAAACTATTGTTGGTGACTTTTCTGTCAATGAAGAAAATAAATATTTTAGATGGCAGTTGGTACAGTCCTTAAAAAATGGTACACGGCATAAACTCATTCCGAAAAATAACAATGAAATGTATGTAAGCTATAAAAAGAATGATGGTACACAAGTTAAATTTCCATTAGACAACAACTGCTACTTAAACTTATATGGAGACGAACAAAAGAAATATTTAAGAGTTTATGAAATGGCATATATGACATTGTCTGACCCAGCTCCAGCACCATATTATTATGACTATGGAGATGATGACAGAACACCACATGTAGATGAACAAAAGCTAACATTATATTTAGATTATTATAGATATAAAAGATATAATGCAATAGAAAAAACGAGAATAGTATATTATTATACAGATGACAGAAATAAATATTATAGTCAAGATTTTACCTACCCTGAAAACATAAGATTATATTATAAAAAATATTCTGACACAAACCAGAAGAAACCTGAAATAGTTGCACTATATTTTAAGTTCAAAAGAGACAATCCTATAATATCTCATATGTTTGATTTAATGAACCCAGTAGGTTCTATTTATACATCTATGGATGCAAGAGGTCCTCAAGTAATGTTTGGTGTTGGTGCATGGGAACAAATAGTCGACAGGTTTTTGTATTGTGCAAACTCTTCAAAGGAAACAGGTGGAAGTAAAACGATTTCAGGTGAAAATTTACCTGCACACAGTCATTACATAAATTTAAGTACATCTCAATCAGGTTGGCATAGGCATAGATATTGGGGTTGGTCAGGAATGACAAAAGGTAAAGGATATGATGTTAAAGACGACGTTAAGTTTGCTATAAATTGTTACTGGGATGACACGTGGGGAGAAGGAGACCATACACATTTCGTTTCAGGATATACACAAACAACGGGACAAAGTAAAGACTACATGCCACCTTACATGACAGTTTACGCATGGTATAGAATTGCTTAGTCGTCATTTTCAACTTCTTTAGCATATTCGTCTGGAGTTGTCTTATATTTGTTAGGAACTGTCTTTGAAAGTATACCACCTTGAACTTTGACAAGTTTGAAACGAGGTCTGACAATAGTAGTTTTATCTTCTGCTTGCAGTGTGTACATTTTGCCATGTTTGCCTAAAACTTCATAATATTCTCTTGTATACTTTCTTCTATTTTTACGAACACGAATGTGAGTACCTGTCGGGTTCCCATTGTTGTC